TTTAAACGCAAGCCCTGAAAAGTAGACAAGAGCATTAATTCAAGTTCTTATATTGCACAGTAACGATAATGCACCAAACCAACTCTCATTGTTGTCTTGACAACCGCCACGGTCTACATCCTAAAGCTGATGCCTGAAAGTATTTCTCATCTCTTATGAATGTAGGCATTTATCTCTACTAGAACATGTACTTATTGATTTTCCCTGTACGTGCTTATCAGAGCAAGGCTTCACAGGTGTGCCCTTTGACTGAGACACTAATATCATAGCAATAATCTAAAGTAAATAGATTTTGACTTAAACGAACCGTGCTCGGAATGTGTAACTTGTGTATCAACACTATATCTTCTTTTCACTAGACCGCCTCCGTGGTCGGCTTGCATCGGCAATATGATTCTAACAGACGATTCACCAATAGATGTGTCATCAACCAAAAAACCCGAGTTGATTTGTTAAGATTATCAGCTAAATCATTTATGTATAATACAAGGACATTGAAAGGACTCGGTACAGAACACTGGGGTACCCAGGCTGATGTGTATTTCAATGAAGAAAGGCAACCGTTTACTAATACATGTACTTATGCACGTCACTATATAAATGTAATAACCTTGGACACGACGTTAAACCCCAGTTTACCCCACTCACCTCACCTTAATATTGAGCACGTTTCTAAAGCTTAATTCTGCTTCACTTGTATCTGAAGAGCAAGTGATATTTTGTGTTGGATTACAACATCTAAGTCATGTCAATAGCCTATCACATAAGATGATCGGACAGAATTGCAATGTTGCACAACCAGACATCAAGATTTCTTTTGTAACATTTGGGACTTTTTCAAATCAAATATGCAATAAAAAGTGTTAAAGATCTACTTAAGTTGACCACAACGATAGCTTTGTACGTGCCTGTACCTTCAGCTCTGCAAATGTTGTATTTATATATCTGTATTTTGTTATATTTGCATTACAAGGCACACAAATCACTTCATAAGGAACTACAGTAAACTACGGTTATAACGAACTCAAAGGGACTACTAATTTTAGTTCGTTATAACCGTAATTCGTTATAAGCATAACTATAGCATATAGTCGGGACTAAAAAGTTAGTTTGTTATATCCGTTAGTTCGTTATAAGCGTGTTCGTTATAACCGTAGTTTACTGTATTTTATTTGCATTCATATGTAACTGCAAGACTGTTTTGAAAACAAAGTGAAACGGGAAACAGCAGAAGATCGAAACTACAGACGGTACCAGGAAAAGTGTGTGATGTTACATGTATTATGCTATGTACGGAACATAAAGCGTTCAGTTATAGTATCCTCTGATTTCTAGCCTTATGAAATCCAAATCAAATAATATTTCCCCGAATAGAAGTTAAATGAGAAATATTATATATGTTTATTTTGAATGGTTATACACCATTGTCTAGACGTATAGTGTTTTCTTTTCATGCGTGAAAGTTGGACATGTGAAAGCTTCAGAACTATATGCCAAAAGTGAACAGAAGCTATAACAAAACAGGAAGTGACCCGAGCCTTGAGTGAGTTCTTGGGCCTTGTAGAGGGGAGTCCCTCATGGATCAGATCATTCCCCTGTACTAGGCCCAAAACACTCACTCAAGGCTCTGGTCACTCCCCTGTATGAGGCCATAAACACTCGCTCAAGGCTCAGGTCAGTCCCCACTACAAGACCCAAAACAATCAACAAAGGCTCATGTGACTCCCCTCTACTAGGCACAAAACATTCACTCAAGGCTCAGACCACTCCCCTCTACTAGGCACAAAACATTTACTAAAGGCTCACATCACTCCCCAGTACAAGGCCCAAAACACTCGCTCAAGGCTCAGACCACTCTCCTCAACTAGGCCCAAAACAGTCAGTCAAGGCTCAGGCCACTCTCCACTACAAGGCCCAAAACATTGACTCAAGGCTCAGACCAATCCCCTGTATAAGGCCCAAAACATTGACTCAAGGCTCCGGTCACAACTCAGTACAAGGCCCAAAACACTCCCTCAAGGCTCAGATAACTTCCCTCTACTAGGCCCAAAACATTCACTTAAGGCTCAGGCCACTCCCCTCTACTAGGCACAAAACATTCACTCAAGGCTCAGATCACTCCCTTGCACTAGGGCCACAACATTTGCTCAAGGTTCACGTCAATCCCCTCTACTTGGCCCAAAACATTCACTCAAGACTCAGAACACTCCCCAGTACAAGGCCCGAAACACTCGCTCAAGGCTCAGACCACTCTCCTTAACTAGGCCCAAAAACAGTTAGACAAGGCTCAGGTCACTCCCCATACAAGGCCCAAAACATTCACTCAAGGCTCATGTGACTCCCCTCTCCTAGGCACAAAACATTCACTCAAGGCTCAGATCACCCCCCTCTCCTAGGCACAAAACATTCACTCAAGGCTCATGTCACTTCCCTCTACCAGGCACATAACATTCACCAAAGGCTCAGATCACTCCCCTGCACTAGGGCCAAAACATTCGCTCAAGGCCCAGGTCTACCCCCTCTACTTGGCCCAAAACATAAACTAAAAGCTCACACCATTCCCCAGTACAAGGCCTAAAACACTCCCTCAAGGCTCAGACCACTCCCCTCAACTAGGCTAAAAACAGTCAGACCAGGCTCAGGTCACTCCCCAGTACAAGGCCAAAAACATTCACTCAAGGCTCATGTGACTCCCCTCTCCTAGGCACAAAACATTCACTCAAGGCTCAGATCACCCCCCTCTACTAGGCACAAAATATTCACTCAAGGCTCAGACCACTCCCCTCTACTAGACACAAAACATTCATTCAAGGCTCAGATCATTCCCCAGTACAAGGCCCAAAACACTCGCTCAAGGCTCATGTGACTCCCCTCTCCTAGGCACAAAACATTCACTTAAGGCTCAGACCACTCCCCTCTACTAGGCACAAAACATTCACTCAAGGCTCAGATCATTCCCCTGCACTTGGGCCACAACATTCGCTCAAGGTTCATGTCAATCCCCTCTACTTGGCCCAAAACATTCACTCAAGGCTCACATCACTCCCCAGTACAAGGCCCAAAACACTCGCCCAAGGCTCAGACCACTCTCCTCAACTAGGGCCAAAACAGTCAGTCAAGGCTCAGGTCACTCCCCTGTATAAGGCCCAAAACATTCACTCAAGGTTCAGACCACTCCCCTGTATAAGGCCCAAAACATTCACTCAAGGCTCAGGTCACTCCCAAGTACCAGGCCCTAAACACCTTTTCAAGGCTCAGACCACTTTCATCAACAAGGCCCAAAAACAGTCAGACAAGGCTCAGGTCACTCCCCACTACAAGGCCCAAAACATTCACTCAAGGCTCATATGACTCCCCTGTATAAGGCCCAAAACATTCACTTAAGGCTCAGGTCACTCCCCAATGCAAGGCCCAAAACACTCACTCAAGGCTCAGAACACTCCCTGTATAAGGCCCCAAACACTCACCCAAGACTCATGTCACTCCCCTCTAGTAGACCCAAAGCATTCACTCAAGGCTCAGAACACTCCCCTGTATAAGGCCCCAAAACACTCACTCAAAGCTCAGATCACACTTCTACAAGATCCAAAAACATTTACTCAAGGCTCAGGTCACTCCCCACTACAAGGCCCAAAACATTCACTAAAGGCTCACATCACTCCCCGGTACAAGGCCATAAACATTCACTAAAGGCCCATGTCACTCCTCACTACAAGGCCCAAAACATTCACTCAAGGCTCAGAACACTCCCTGTATGAGGCCCAAAACACTCACACAATGCTCACTCCCCTCTAGTAGTCCCAAAACATTCACTGAAGGCTCAGATCACTCCCCAGTACAAGGCGCCCAAAACTTTCACTGAAGGCTCAGATCACTCCCCAGTTCAAGGCGCCCAAAACACTCACTCAATGCTCAGGTCACTCCCCTCTAGTAGGTCTAAAACAGACACACAAGGCTCAGATCACTCCCCTGTATAAGGCCCAAAGCATTTACACAAGGCCCAGGTCACTCCCCTGTACTAGGCCCAAAACATTCACTCAAGGCTCATGTCACTCCCCTGTTTGGGGCTTTTGGAGGGGAGTGACCCGAGGCTGGAGTGAGTGTTTTGGACCTAGTACAGGGGAGTGACCTGAGCCTTCAGTAAATGTCTTGGCCCAAGTAAAGGGGAGTGACCCGAGCCTGGAATGAGTGTATTGGGCCAAGTAAAGGGGAGTGGTTTGGTTTGGGGGTGGGGGTGGGGGTGGGTGGGTGTGGGGAGAGGGGGGAGAGAAGGGGATTTTTTGGGGGGGATGGGGGGGGGGGGGGGGGGGGGTGGTTATAAGTAGAGGTGGGGCTGGGATTTTGTATCGAAATTAGATATTTTTAGATTATCTAATTCATCGTGTTCTGGAATCTGTTATTATGAAACGTGCTATATATTGATACTGTCTGGTTGTCTACGAGAAACTGTGGGTACCTATTCCGTCGGATGTTTTGGATTGGGTTTATGTGAAAGAAATGGGTCCGGCCTTAATTTTTCATAATCATACTAAAAAATGAGTTTTGAGCCAAGTAATCTTTGCTGGCCCATGACATTGGTCCAAACAACTTTTCTCTTGGGCCAAAATTTATGTTACAAAGTAGTTGTTTTATGTATCATGATAATTGCATATACATTGTATACCTTTGTGTTTTTGTTAAGGCTTTGAGTAAAGTAAAATATGCTGGCCGATGGGCCACATGGTTAATGATTTGAGTTTTCGAAAAACATTTTTCCTTCCTTCGTATGTTCCCATGAAAACAGCATGTGGAATGTTTGTAATTGTCTTTTACCGAGCGAGACCAGCCACAGCGCGGAGAGTTTCTGGACAAAAAGGTTTGCAGAATTAACATAGGATGTGTTCTTTTCATTTTAGTGGTCGATTGAAATATAGGTCATTGGCAAATGGTTGTGGAACCGATTCGTCCCGCTTCTTACACAAATATAAATATATAAAATGTAAAATATAACAACAATAATATTTGTTTGACCAAAACATGTTATATTGCAGAACATCGAGCATGTCCAGTGGACGATTTTAGTTGTTTTGCAAAACTTGACGACAACACTTTTTTCCAGCATTTTCGGGAACAGGTGATTTATTACAAATACCATTCGCACGAGATCACCCGGGCGATGTAACGCCACAATACTGATGAAGAAACATCATCCTTTTAAAAAGAATTGGTGATCCTATTTAACTGATGTCCCAGGCTTGCACAATGTCAAGATGTATTCAGGGCTGCTTTAAAGGTGTCCTTGCCGGCAGTATATATACTTTTTGATTCTGGATTGGCTTCCTTCGGCAACCTGAAATAATAAAAACCATTATAATGTTCATATTTCCAGTACAAACCAGTTTCATACCACTGCACCGACTGTTTAATATTTGCTATGTAAACACCACCTGCAAGGGCCCTTCCTGCAGATCTAGTCACTGTTCAGCAGTAAATGTTCAATGCAAATGTTTATGAAGCCAGATGTCAAGGTGTTAGTATGCATGTCCAATTTAGATACTTATGCAACACACTTATTTAACTAGACCTTAATGTCAGGCCAAATGTTTTAATAACGCTAAAAATTATTTTACAAAGCAGTTCTTTGATGGGTCACGATAATTGTACATACATTGTGTACCTTTGCGTTTTTGTAAAGGTTTTGAGTAAAGTAAAACATATTAAACTATACAGTAGATGAAGCTCTTTATCTGTAGTTGCTACTTTCTCCAACAATGAGAAACATAATTCAACATTCACTGAAGTGAATTTTTAAATTTCACATTGTAAATCGTTAATTTTCTGAACTAAATAATAATAAAACAGATTATTATTATTATTGTTATTATTATTATTATTATTATTATTATTATTATTAATGTATTATTATTATTATTATTATTATTATATGATGTATGGACATATAAATTTGGACTGCATATTCATATGATGTGGTTCTTTCACCTGAGAATAAAAGAGTAAACAGATGTTTTGTTTATGTATAAACAAATCATGCAGAGTTTGTAGGCAAACTTCAACAAAGAGGAACAGTCAATCACATTTTCAGGGGGTGACTGCTATACTGACAAACAACTGAGATGACTGTCGCATGACAAAGTGTGAACAAGGCTGTGAGCAAAAGTGGATGTTTGGGATAGTTGACGCCATCGTATTTATCATTAACAAGATCATGATAATAATGACCACACGCGTTGCGTGTTTATTTACTCACGAACCCTGCTTTCTACAATGAATGTAAAATTACGTAATGCAACAGGTAAATCACAGACTACGAATCAGAAACTCAGTGTCAATAGGAATTGGATGTATTAATTTTAATTTTTTTTACCCCAAACCCTAAATTTATTGTTTGCTGGACATGCTGTAAACAAAACTAAACCAACTGTTTGGTATGACCTTTTCAAATAGAATGTGTGTATGTTTCATTTAGTGAGTGAGTGAGTGATGTTAAAGCCGCTTTTAACAGTATTCCAGTAATATCGCGGCGTGTCAGATTAATGTTGGAGGAAAGCCCGCAGTGATGCAGGTCTCAGACGTTTACCACTTCGGTGAAACCCAAGAGCACGGGTATGGTGCTGACAAACCTGGAAACATAATCGGGATTCGAACCGGGATTCGAACCCACAATCATAGGTTTCTGGCGTGCCCAGGGGACGCAACTCTGCACAGCGAATCGCGGCGCCTTAGACGACTGGGTCACCCGGGCCACCCGTGCCCCACGTAAATTTCAGAGTGAAAGGGTCAAACGGATGGTGACGACATATCGCACGAAAGACCCGAAAAATGTGACACGAGACACCCGGCAACAAGGGAACCAACTTACCAAAATACGAAGGAGCATGCTCTGGACCACGTGGCATCCTTCTGAAGTTTGACATAGTCGAACATAACGTAGCGTCCATCCTCGTCTGGTAAGCTATGAACCAGCTGGTGCCACAGTGACTTCACTTTAGCGTTGATACTGTCCCCAGCCATGCCAATCGTATCCTCCACAGAAAAACATCTTGCTTTTTGAGACTCCATTACAATTCTGTTATCGTTCGTGATCCTGTACACGGTCCATTGTGCGTTTCCAGCAGCCTGAGAAGCATGGGCTTGAAAGCACTCCTCCTCTATCTTAATAGTAATCGGCATATTCTCTCTTTCTAACTATGTCAGCTTTTCCCAGGCGCTATGTCCCAACTCAACAACACGGGTCTTCCCATGGGCCTGTATATTATAACTCATACATATACACACTGTCTCAATTTACACCTTTCAACCATTATCCATTGCAAGCATTTTATCAGGCGGTGTTCAAGCTCTACAGCGCACTGTCATATACAGAAACGATAATCACAGAGTACAATGTCGTGATGCGTGAAGATCCCAAGCAGCTACCACGCCCACAAGCTGGAACACAACACTACGTCATGCCACGCCACGCCCACTAGATAACAGCTATGCACTTCATTGCACACACATGCACACAAATCTATACAGTCCGTGCATGTACATATATGTACATGTATATAAAGGTTAAAGCGCTGCTCGACAGCAAAACGTTTTGCATTAGGGAAGTGTGGTACAGTCGCTTTCATTCAGCGTAAGCGAAGAGAGAAACAAGTTTTACAGTTGCAGCTAAATATAGCCAGCTGTATCTAAGGCCTTATAAGGAAGACCAATCGTTGTATTATTCATAACTAAATGAGACTGTTCCGTGTGCAACAGCTAGCAGTATTGAGGTTGGGAGCGGTAGCCATCAAGGAGTGGGACGACTGAGGTGGACACAGATCTCTTCGCCGCGTGGATCATAGGCCGGAACAATAATGTCTGGTATCAGACTGGACGACGAAACTCAGGAACTAATCAAAAACGATGTCAAGGGACATGTTTACAAATATGTTACTTTCAGAATTAATGATGAAAAAACAAAAATCTGCATAGATGAGATGAAGCTGATGTCTGACTTGCCGGACGGCAGCAGAACCATAGCGAGAGACCATGAAGAGTTTAGGAAACTGGGCGAGATCATGCCACAGGACAACATGCGATACATCATGTACACTTACGTTGATTGTCAGCTTAACTACCAGAGGTGCTTCATTAAATGGTAAGTACTAATAGTTTTACTACTTCTTTGGGGTTGTGGTTAGCCAAGTGGGTAAAGAGTTGGCTCGTCACGCCGAAGACCCGGGGTCGATTACCGTGGAGCCAAGTTTTGGTGGACACAAGACCCTACTCACTCATTCATTCTTCATAATCTCACTTTTGATCATGAATATGTTAATCAGACCTATCATTAATTAATACTGTAACCCCAACATGGATATGTGTTACATGACATCATACATGTTTTTTATCAATAAGGGAATTGGCATATATGATAGTTATATATAGATCGGGGGGGGGGGGGGGGGGGGTGTCACAGTCTGCAAACACCCACCTACCCAGTCTGTGTATCATTTTCTTATGGTTGGTTGGTTGGTTGGTTGGTTGTATTACGCCGCCCTCAGCAATATTCCAGCTATATGACAGCGGTCTGTAAATAATCGAGTCTAGACCAGACAATCCAGTGATCAATATCGATCCACGCAATTGGATCACCCGATCCCCTTAGTCGCCTTTTGTTATGGCACCCTCGAGTTAAATTAAACATATCATCATGACAACCCCCTTCCAATAATAAACGGCCAGTCCCTATTCAATGTGCGAATTTAATATTTTATCATTTGAAAAAAATACACACACACACCACCCACCCCTCGCAAGCAATTTCAAAAGCACAGAGTAAATGCACTAGGATTGTCATGAACATTATTCGAAACACTATTTGTGTCATATTTTGTTTTACAGGTTGGGAACTGATTCACCAGTGAAAATGAAGATGATATACGCATCATCAGAGGCCGTCATAAGGGAGAAATTAGGTATAAAACAGAAACTGTTGGTTGAGGATGAATTCCGATTTCCGGACGAACTATTAAAAGAGCAAGAGCAAAAAGCATCAAAATAAGGCAACTGTGACCGAACATGCTTAATTCTCCTATGCGTTCCTCGGTTTTAAGTAAGTGGAATGACATTAGTAGACTTTAGATGGTCAGCCTCAACACTGCTAATAGTTGACATTGCATGGTCTGATGACGGACAACGTTCCCCCCACGAGATGCTCGGATGAAGACAGAGAATATGTTGACTATGCATGCTGACCAATGTTTTCGCTTATTTTCGATTTCCTCAGTAAAATCAGGCTCACAGTATAACATTGAGGCCTTTAATATCAGTGGTCCTTGTGAACAAGCAACGTAAACTGTGAATACAGTTCAGTCCCAAAGGTCTTCATTAGCTATGACTGTCAGTAAAGCTTTTCAAATCTTATGATAACTGCATGTGAATAAAAATACCATTATTTCATCAATTTGGGGATCTGTCAATGTTTGACACAATAACAGACGTAAAGACAACTTATCATTCTCACGATTTTGCAATAAAGACATTTCTCAATTCTTCCCTGACAATTCTTTGAGCTGAGCGTCATACCAAAAGACGTTAAAAGATGGTACTTGTTACCCTGCCTGGCGCTCGGTATTAAGGGGCTAAAACAAGGACTGGTCGGCTCGGAGTCAGTAAACTGTGTCTGAGTGGGGTATTCATGTGAAACTGCGGCAAGGTATCTCAGTGGGCTAAGCACTATCAATCGGCATCAGTCCGGACTAGCACAAGCAGCCACATACACACACGCGCATGCACGTCGCTATATAAGTGCAATAATCTTCGACGCGACGTTAAACACCATTTCACCTCACCTCACCTTTGAGCTGAGAATATAATGTTTAATCGTTAGATATGCCAAGAGGCAGGTGATATATTCCGTCAGTGTTCTCACCCCTACTGGGCCAAGACAAGTTGTTTATACTATAGTATACACGTTTTTGTTGAGTTTCCACGTTAATATCCAAAGGCTTGAGACAATCACCTGTAGGATCACACCACGCCCAAGTACCCCACCGACATACCTGGACGTTACTGTTTGCTGGTTTGGGACCGACACACACCAAAAGCCAGCTTGTTTACGACATGTCGGGTGAAATGGCTTGCTAACAATGTTGTTGTACATGTAGCCATCCCACTGTTGTGAGTGCAGTGTTTAAAACAGGCAGTGTTGTGACACAGGTGTTCAACGGTCATATCGCGAGCGCCGTATAGCGGGGACTGTTAGCATTCCTGTGAAATATCACCACTCAAGCGTTAAAAATTGAGGCTATATAATTCTGACTGACTATTTCATATGTTGCACTCCCTTACAATTAGAGCTGGGGAAAAGGACGTAACTTGTGACTATCGTTGCGTGGAGTTATTAAAAGAAGATGTATAGGGAAGATATTCATTGCCGCGTTACTCTGTGTGCAGCCATTCATCCCGATAAGGGGGGCACGGGTGGCCCAGTCGTCTAAGGCGCCGCGATTCGCTGTGCAGAGTTGCGTCCCCTGGACACGCCAGAAACCTATGATTGTGGGTTCGAATCCCAGTTCACCCCGATTATGGTTCTAGGTTTGTCAGCACCATACCCGTGCTCGTGGGTTTCACCGAAGTGGTAAACGTCTGAGACCTGCATCACTTCGGACTTTCCTCCCACATTAAGCTGACACGCCGTGATATAACTGGAATACTGTTAAAAGCGGCGTTAAACCAAACTCACTCACTCATCCCGATAAGGCGATACTTTTTTTTCAAATTGGTTTACGGGTCCGCCAACTCAACAATTGAAGAGCGGAAAACAAATCTAAAAAACACTATGTTTTACATGCTGACTGTAAACATACATAAACTGCAGGGCAAAGAAAAGTATAACCTTGGAATTTGGATTTAAAAAAATTACAAACGTTACCACAACGTTTCTAGGCTGAAAACAGTCGCGGAAACATGACAAACTTTAAGGTTCAAACCAAAACTATGATACCCGTATCAAAAAAACATTTCTTGTTTGTTGCATCATTGGCCACCATCAGCCACTATACATTCTTTTGTTCAGCAGTTTATTAGCAGAAAAGTTGTTCATACGAAACATATTAACCGGTAACAACGACGAGACCGGCGCCATAAATAATGCAGGCATGGCAGAGTCGCAAGACCCCTTTGAAGAACAGACGAGAGGTCCTACTTGTTTTATTTTTACACCCGAACCCCGTTATCTCGCAACTAGCGAGACGGTGTTGTAACTTCGAGTTAACGATGCATGTACATCGAGACAAATCTAGTAACAGAATTGTACATATGCATAGCAACACGATTGCATATACAAGAAATTAAGATCTCAACAATTGTATGAGATGACAAATTGAAATGTATTTCGGCGGCAGTGATTTATTAATTTACGGTTGTGACAAATTATGTACAGTGTACATGTGCCTCATTAGGCATAGCAGCAATCACTATTTGGTTGTTTTATCTCGAATTCGAGATAAGCGGGCACAATTTATGTATTTATATGGTGAGGCGGTTGGGACCGGAGAATAGGTTCGAGATATTGGTACATCCGAGATAACGGTGTTTGAGATAACCAGGATAGACTGTATTATATAATTTCCCACCTACCGAGAAGGGCGTCATTGTTGTTCTTGTTTATTCAAGGCGCCACAATTCGTCACTTTAAAACGTAATTTAAAAAGTTCTTTATCATAACACGTTGTCCTTGCTTTGTTGTTTGGACGTCACGCACGAGTGACTCTGCCCACAAAGCAAGATATTCAACGACTACGTTGTGGCAACATGAACAGCGGTAATGTGATATGTTTGAGTGTGAGCGGACTGACCTTGACTTAAATATATCCTTATCCTACATTGCGTTTGTTCATAGTGATCATCATAGTGGATCATTCCACTTTGCACAGAAGGAATAAGGTAGTGATATGTTGGGACAATCAACCACGCCGTCGCCCTATGTTTTATTGGCCGCATGACAAGTGGGCCGTATGACTAATGGGGAATACAGCTGTTGTGTAAGCTTATACACGCATGTACGTACGGGTATTTACATATAACTAACACATATAGATATCGGGACAGGGAAGCCGACCAGCGAGGAAGCCCCACAATCAAAACTGTGCAGAACTGTTCAGATTAAATATTAATGAATCATGATGTGTATAAGGAAATGCACGCGCGACCTATATAGATGGGGATGTAGGTCAGGGGAAGACACGTCACGTGGTTCCCGCCCGGGCAGTTTGTCATGCGCTGCGCATCTGTTTCCGACTGTTGTTTGCCGGTGTGTCACCATGGCACAGGTTGTGATCAATACACGACATAAGTGTAAGCCTGGGGTATTCTAGTACACACTGTCAGTATTACGTCACTTCTATCTCGGGGGCGGTCGGGTAGCCTAGTGGTTAAAGCGTTCGCTCGTCACGCCGAAGACCCGGGTTCGATTCCCGACATGGGTACAGTGTGTGAAGCCCATTTCTGGTGTCCCCCCGCCGTGATTTGGATGGAATATTGCTAAAAGCGGCGTAAAACCATACTCACTCACTCACTCACTTCTATCTCGTGCGTCTGTATTACACAGCCACTGGGCCATGAACTATAATATGGCCTGGGAAACAGAAGGTCGGTGGTTTGATCCCCTGTGGCGTCATATCAAAAGTTGTTAAAAGATAAATGCTTTTACCCTGCCAGACTTCGGTTTTGTTTGTTTTCTTTGTTTTCTTTGTTTGTTGTTTAATGCCGCACTCAGACATATTCCAGCTATATGACGGCGGTATGTACATAATCGAGTCTAGACCAGACAATCCAGTGATTGACATCAAGAGCATCGATCCACGCAATTGGAAACAACGACATGCATCAACCAAGTCACCGAGCATGGGTTGCTGAAGAACTATTATACCCCGGATCTTCAGGAGTTAAGGCGTTCGGTTTAAGGGGATTACACAAGGACTGGTTGGCTCGGAGTCCGTATGATGTGTCTGAGTGGGTATCAATGTTAGACTGGGGCGGTGGGATAGCAAAAGTGTTAAAGCGTCACGCCGAAGACCCGGGTTCGATTCCCCACATTGGTACAATGTGTGAAGCCCATTTCTGGTGTCCCGCCCTGCTGGAATATTGCTAAAAGCGACGTAAAACCATACTCGGGCAGTCACTCCATGCTAATCTGCGGTATGGTATCTGGGTTAGCACTAAAAAAAACGATATTAGTGCGGAATTGAACAAGCAGTCCTCGCACACTCACACACGCATGCATGCTCGTCGCTATACTGATACTGAACGTGACGTTAACCCCATTTCACCCCACAAGTCTTAATTACAAAGCCACCGGTGTACCTTATACCTGCATGAAACGAGCATAAAATATAATATACACGTCAAACACACACTGACAATCACAACACCACTCAAGCATGTTTCCAAATAATCACAGAACAACAACAGCAGATATTCGCCACCCACATTACACTATCATGTAATATCAAGTGTTATGTTCACTGCAATGTAAATATCACTTTTCCCAACTTCCTCAGACTTCGATGCTGAAGCATATATAATATTATAGCTAAAATGGATGGAATTATCATTAAACCGCCCGCATGTTATGGGGTCAGATGATGACGGACTACTTTCATGAGTGTAAGTCATTCACACTCCGTCGCAGTGGTGACTCATGGAACTCTGGGTAGGGGAGTGAAAGTCATTCATAAGTTGCTCGTGCTTCAGTCGAATGTTCACCTACGTCTGTATTGAACTACAGGACCGTGTAATTAATAATAAAAATAAACAAACTCGTCCTCGTCTGCGAGTTTGTTTGTTATTATTATCAGTTACATTATCTGTTGTTATGGCAACATTATCGTTTTTTCAGAGTGCAATGCACCCTCTTGATGCCACAGCGACACATATGTCCCTCCTCTTCAAACCTCACTTCGAAATCGAATCAAATTCGAAATAGATCTACATCACGCAGACTAATACACTTCACAGTTTTGAATTCTGTTCATCATTTACTGTGTTTTTAGGCAATTCAGGCAATTACTGAAAGTGACTTCTGAAAATTAGGTCCATTATAAATCTCGCCAAATCACAATATTCACGGCGTTATATAAATATTTACTGTGTGTTTAGAAATCTAAATAGTGGATATTTTCTCGAATATTTCAAGTAGAAAAATAGCAGATTAGCGATCACAGGTATCAAATCACTACTGATAATTCTGAAACGTCGCTGATAAGCCTAGAATCGTTTAGAATGTTTTGGAAAATACGCATACACGAACGCCGAAATGTACGGTCCGCCATATTGGATTGTGTTTACAAAATGCCGGTTATGAGACGCCTATTCGATCAGGTATATTTCAAACTCAGCCGCTATACATGCATCCCTGAAGTCCTCATATATTTTCGAAACAATGGATAAATGGTCTTTGTCACCAATGCAAATTATCTAGAGGAAATCATGCGAAATAAATTGGGTATGGAAACGAAAACTGTGCTCGGAAAACTGTACTTGCTGAAATG